GCACATGACAACAATTTACATTCTCAAAACGCTTTCTCACATAATTCCTAGATGGTTCAGTTTGCAATATACAAAATATCTATTCAATTTAAAGTAACACATTTTTAACTTTAGAAAAATGCTTCCCTTTTTTGTAAGGTGGTAAACTTGTAATATGAGTACTTGAGACTGACTTGTGTGTAGATGTTTTCATACAGTAATAGAAAGTAACTAATATCTGGCTCTGAACAGCTCACGTTACAAGTATGATAATACGTAATGTCACAGTCAATGTAACCCAGATCCTTATCTCTGGCTGGCAAAAGTAGTTTTAAGGAAGTCAGTTTTTAGATGTAGAGGTCAGTTCCAAAAAAAGGTGCCATAAGCATAGATTAATATACTGTAACTCAGGGAACGCCTCTACTCACAGAAGAACATCACCGATAGGTTTAGCAACATGCACACATCATTAAAGTGCATGATTTTTTTCAATGTTTGTAAGACTTCGATGTTTCATAAGGCTTTTTTTGTATTTGAGAGGGTGATTCTTTTATTTAATTCAAAAGCATGCACCTTATTTACTATGCAGTCTCTGTACAATCCCAGCAACAAATTTGCAATGTGCTGCAATGGTATTCTGAGTCTTTTGATGGGCAATTTTTCTATGTAACCCAGCACTTGTAAATAGTGTTTGCCTCTAGTTTTAGAATGTACTGGAGACTAACCATATAATGTTGTAAGTTTTACAAGATATATCCTATTAACATAAATTAAATGACAACACTGGAAATCTGAAAATAAACACAAAAATTACTGTGAAGATTTATTTGATGACTATTATAAAATTTCATATGACCAGAGAGCAGAAACAGCAGGCACGTGTAAATAGTAAACTAAAATATTTTGTTTTACTATTTTCACGTGCCTGCTATTTCTGACCTTAAGCGGAATTTTATGAATGAATCTTCTGATGTAAATACTTGAATACCAAAAAGACTGTTGATGTATTAATTGTGAGGACTTGAGTAGCTCAATTAATTACACTATGCTCTATATGCAGAAACAGAAACAAGCTTGGCATCTTTACTAATGCAACTTATTAAAATATAAGCTAATGAATTCATGTCTTTTATTCATTCCTTATTTTAACTCAGAGTCAGAAAATCACAACAAAGACTATGATTAATCATGAATTAACAGATTTAACTTTACTTGTTTTTTATGCTAGGTCTGTTAGGGTTTTGTTTCTTTTATACGTTGCAGAAATGCTGTTAACCCATGCATACAGTACGTGTCTAAGGAACGCAAGCTTTCATGATGTAAGAAATAAAGCATAACGGCATAAAAAGACAAACTTCAGAAAAAACTCCTCCAGAAAAAATAAATAATGGGATTTACTACAGATTACACACTATATTTCACATGAAGTGAAGCTTCATGACTGTAAGCAAGGAGAGACAGTATTCAAGCTGAAGTTGTAAAAATACATATACAGAAACATCCTTATAGCATTTTCCCTTGACCTTTTTTGCTATCTATGTAAATAAACAGGGTAAGTCACAAAAGACAATATTTCATTAGTTTTGTTCTTCAAGGCCAAGATTTTTTTAAGAAGCACAGAAAATAGCTTTAGTGAATGCAGAACAGGACAAACACTTGCATTTTTTATGCTTTTTGGTCTTTCAAGAAAATGAAAAGAGTAAGTAGCATTTGACAACTATAAACAATAAAACATGTAAAACATTATATTTACCTGGTATGCCTTGTAATTGATACCATATGCTAATGGGTTTGCTCTCATACGCACATACAAGTATGTGTAGCTGAGCCACTTCACTGCTTCTTCAACATTGGTAACGGTTCCTAATGCGATCTAAAAAAACACACATTTTATTTTAACACATAACATGTATTACTGTGAAAGCATTCCCTTCTAACAGCGCTTGAATTCATGCATGATGTCATTCAATTTAAATGTCCATTACCACTCTTTATCACAATATTCTATAGATTTTTAAAATGATCATGAAGCTGATGAAGCTTAAAACTGGGCAGAAATAAAGAACTGAGTTTTTTCTCTTATCAAAATGACTTGACTATTCTACTGCCATTAAGACTTTCAGTAACTACCTTTAACTAACTTTAATCCATGAGTACTGATAAATGTGAAAATGCATGTATACTGTATCTTGTTTATATTTTACTTTAATAAAGACGACACAAAAAGGACAAAGTAAACTTGATCATTAGAAATCTCCCATCCCAGTACAGATCAGATCCATTCCTAGTGTCTGAGGTTGTAATACTAATGTCAGGAGTGAAGAAGGCCCTGTTCATTATACTTTGTACAGTTAGTTTCTTACCACTTGAGCTAAATATACTAAATATACTACATACACTCAACATCCAACACTTAGTATAAAACTTCTCTATGTTTGAAAATAGGATTTCCGTACATTTAGAATAAGGAACAGGAAAGAGGACGGGTAAAAGACTCTTCATATAGATTTTAATTTGAGATAAGAAGAAGAACCAAATGATTTGGGAAAACAATGTGAGCACAAAAGATTTTAAGTATTTTATATTGACATAAAATTCAAAAAACACTCGGTCAATTTTTGTGAAATACTATGAAGAAAGGAAGAATCACACACTATTAAATATGAATTACGTTTACATGAGCATTCAATAACCACCTTAAAAGAACATGCAACATATGTTTTCCTGGCATTTTTCTGCAAACATTTGTCAGCAATTTATCCCTCCTGTTTACAATTACAGCTCTGGTCATTCTGTCACACAATTTTGGCAATACATCATTGTCTCATTTTGCCTTCTTAGTCCAAATCTTCTGCCAAATAATATATATGCTGTTTGTAGTATTCTTTTTCCCTCTTTTTTACCCTTCATTGAGGTTATGATTAGGGCAGACAAAACAGAATACTGATTTTAACACTTCTTCTTATTATGATTTATAATTTATTTTAAGGCATCAGTGTAATGTATTGGTCAGGGATCTGGACACAATACTCGAAGACTGTGGATTGAAATCCCAGGTAAGACTTTGTCATTGTGCCCCTGCGCAAGGTAGGTCACTCAAATTACTTGAGTAAAATATCCATTGGAACAAATGTAGGTTTGCTATGGATGGAAGCATCGGCCAAGGCAAAAACAATGCTAATATAGTGTATGTCTGCATTTTACATATGTCTGTTTACATAGCATACAGCTTTTCCAAAGCCATTGATTGTGGCTGATGTTTTATTATGGGATAGTTTATATATTTCCTTCATCGAAGGAAAATTGCTCAATACATTAATCAGGTAAGAAACAGATTTTATCATTCTAAAAATCTTTTGAGTTGTCCCAGATTTCTACGGTGTTCTCTTGAGTCAGCTATGATTCTGAAACTTGACAGTCTTCTCACTTCTCACAAAGTGTACCTCCATTAGATTTTTATTTGAAATGGATAATAAACTTTGGCATAAGCCAATGGTTTAAATTAGGCTTTTCTTTTTAGATGGGATTTAATTAAAATGTAATTATCTACATAATTATCAACACTAGTGTGTATACTGTATGTATGATTAAATACTGAGTTTACATACAGTTAGATAAAACAAACTCAAAAGCACTGATAAATGTATTCAGATTTACAGATACAGAAGTTGACTACCAAAAAAGGAAGACTGCTGTGATGACTTACAGCACAATATATCAGTTAATGTTTTATTAATGAGTGAAATATTTTACAGGCAACATTTTCATTCAAACGCAACTATTACAAAAATCTACAACTGCATTTCAAGTGTCTTAATGAACAGTTCTTTTTGAAGATATGCACATATCAAACAGGAAGGTCATAAACTGTAAGACACTACTGTAACCTAATAGAAATGGAACTTCCTGAGAACAAAAACATCCTGCCCAAACTGCAAATCAAAGTATAATGCTGTGTTTTATTAAGAAGTACACCCTTATACATTAAACATTTGAAATGTGAAAAAAATATCTGAATAAATGTATGGAAACTACACAGTCCTTCTTCTGTCTCACACATAAACACAAACAAACTGCCCTTTGGGGGTAATAAAAACTCTCTCTATACTTTTAATATATAAAGATGGCAAGAACCAAAATGATTTTTGGTTACAAATAATTTCTCTTAAGGTCTATCACCACTGACAGTTTATATCAGATATTATGTTTAATGCAAATATCTTGCTTCAATGTTCCTTAATGGTATTTTGAGTTCTTATTTCATACAGCGTTCACTTAACATGTGAACATTTTGCCTTTTATATTTTTTCCAGTATAGACCATTTTCAAGAATCTCAAACAAAATATCTCAATCATCCATAAATCGTGAAGCACGCATACTGTATGACTTCTAGTCAGAAGAAATGTCATCTCCTGAGGATTTGTACACAACGCCACCCTCCCCCAGTTCTGTTATCATCATTCAGATCACTCTACTAGAATCAACACAACTGTAAATTTTCTAGCACATTTGCACATCCGTTGGTGTTTCACATCATTGCTTATATAAGCAAATCGGGCAATTTACTTTTCAGGTTGCAAGAAAAAACCAACATAGAACTGCTCTATGTCTGAGAAGCTAAAAGCACCACATCTTGTGATTTCTTAAGAGCAACGTGTTGCATTTGCTCTGGTTTATGCATATTTACTTTGTGTCTGCTTTTTCAAAATGATTTTGTAACAGCAAACAATGCTGGAAAATCTGCAGACTACATTTTCTGTTGGTTTTTGCTTTCTTTATTTATGTTTCAAAAGACTCCTCCACCTCCTGCCTTCAGAGTGAACTGACAGCAGGGTTTAAGAAAAGATAATCGCTGTCGGTGTGAGTTGAATTTGTAATGTCTTCAGCCTTGAAACACACTAGTTAAGATTCCCTTTACTGTAGTAACCATGTCCTAAGATTTACTACATGAATTGGAAAGTGATGTTTAAACAGTATATTGCATTAATAATGGATACTTACTAGCCAAGCCAAATACTACTGCTCTGATTTCTCTTGCAATTTAACCTGGTCACAAATTGTGGGAATATAATCTCTTCACTGGTCATAATGTCATTTTTACTACCAAAAATAATCTGACTTGAATTAAAGAGAAATATTTTTAAACAGATAAATTAAAAGATAAATTTAAAACGTTTTAAAATAAGATATTTACAACATTTGTTATTATTACAACTGTTAATTCAATAATAAGATAATGAATAACAAGAATAATGGTCTTCTTAGTATTTACCATGCATTTATCTCAAGAAAAAGCAATCCAGGAATCTAAAGTGATATCAGCATTATTAATCCTTGAGCGCCATCCAGTGGTTTGCTCTTTTACATTTACACAATGTACTGCCACCTGGTGAGCAGTTAGAAAAATATCTGGTAATTAGTTATTCACTAATGTGCTATTCATTATGTGCTTGAAAGAAAATAGAAAACAATTTCTATTTTGTACTGATAATCTTTGGGATATTGCACAATATGGAATTAAATAAAGTTACTAGAGCTAAAAGAAAAGATTCTGACATTTATGTGTATTTATGTTAACACTATGTTATTCTATGAAGTAGTAAAATAAATATTTTACAAAATGACATGAACCAAAATAAGAAAAAAAATGTTCTTATTCAGTCTTCAAGCACCAGTGGTATCTTTAAATTAAAAGCAATGATGACAAAGTTTTGTTATTACTCTTAACAGCAATGTCAAATGATAACAGTTTTTAGAGTACTTGGAGCAAACATTTCTTTTGGCTTGAATAGTTTCAGACAAAAATAGCAAAACATAGTTACTTTTCAGTATTTTTTTAGATGAAAGTCAAATTGCACAAATAGAACCTAAGAACCTATGAATTATTTAAATAGGACAGCCTAAATGGGTACCAAATATAATCTAAAGGCCTGGATTATTTCTCCCTTGCTTCCGTAATTCCAGTTTATACAGTTCTTCTCCAAGGCTCAGACTCAAATTTCAAGGAACGGCTGATTTAAAGCACTGCTTCTTTAGAGAATTCTGGGAATGCATTAGGCACATTGAAATAAAAAGGCAAGGGTGTAGTTTGGAAATTAAGTAATGCCAGTACAGCCTGGAGATGTTCACAAACTTCTATCACAATTAAAACTGCTTCACCTTAATCTTGATTTCCGCATAATTTCCAACAAAATGTTTAGTAACCTGTTGTTTGCGTAATTGCTGTGCTGTGATGAATGGAACTCCGATTGGATAATGATCAGAAAAAAAACTATTGGTTATTTATTGGTTAAAAATATTGGTTACAAAGCCAATGGTTTTAATAAACTTAGAATATGTTATTAGCATTTGCCCTATTGAAATGTATATGATTAAGTATATTTCCCTTCCAAGCTTCCACCAAGCTTGAAAGTGTGTTCCTTATCTCAATATGAATTTGATCAATCAGGTCTCATGCATTTCATGCATTTACTAAGTTTCTCTATTATAGTCATAAAATGATTTAGATTTTGCTGGACATAAAATTATTTTGTCTTGTCTTGTTTTAATATATTCTTCCCAGAATACATTAAAACAGGAAAGTAAAATAAAGACAAGTATAATTGCAGTATTAAACTGCAGCAATGAGCCTTAAACAGTAAAACAATCTCAAGCACATTAATTATTAACACAGACTGTGAAAATATACCCCAAAAGCTTGAATAAGAAAAAGCTTTTAAGAAATATTCAACTTTTTTATGTTGAATCCTCCTATGAAGAAGATCAGACATATATTTATGCAGAAGACATAGTGCCACAGGGTTAATACATAATAATTTTAACAAGTATAAAGCATACAATACCTCAGCATTCAAATTGTCAGCAAGGCTCTCCAAAAACTGGCTCTCAATTGGGTTTTGTTGAGTAAGCAGAGTAAGGTAATGACTCAGTTTATCATGAGTTGAAATAATGGTGCCTTCTCCAAATTTATCGAACTGTGGTCGTCCTGCGCGTCCAAATATTTGCATAACATCCAAAATCCCTAAATCCACCAAAGTTCCTCTCTTGGCATCATAAATCTGGGTACCCTGTTCATGCATAAAATATAAGATCACAATGAAAAGAATTGGCAACAACAAAACAACATCTGAGAAAAATCATAAAAAAACAAAACAGTACAAAAATAAAATACAAGCAGACTAAAACCAGAAAGCAAGAGACTTTAACTATTCAGTGTTTACATCAATTGCCAAACAGATAAAACAACCTTTAAAAATAACATTACAAACCTACATAATATGCCTTCACTGTAGGAATGAAAATGAGCATTTACAGGACTTGGTAAAACTGGAAAAAAATAAGGCAATATTCTATATGACTAGATGGCATTATTATCCCAAGTATTTGAGTTACGAAAAAGGAACCCATGCACACCAAAAAAGTGAAAGTCATCCTCGACATCATTACTATTAAACATTACCCTTTTGAAATATTAATGAACTAAGTTTTGCTCTTTTCCATGTTATATGTACTGAGCACATAATATGCAACATAATTATATAGTATATAAACTGCCATAACAGTTTTACTTTGCAGCTTTGCAGTGTTTCCTGTTAGCAATGTCTGTATATCGACCACATTTACATCACTATAAAAATTCATTGAATATCAAGTGAAATAGAGATATTTGGTTCCAATATTTAAAAATCAACACTGATTGTAAAAAGATTTTTACATGAAATTATTTTGGTAGTAAAAGTAATGATAGAATGCTTTTTGTAGTCATTGTGTTTAAAAAGGGTACTTGGGTTCAGAAATCTCAAATGATAAGGCTTCCCTCTATTTTGATTTTGTGTTTACGAATTAACAATTTTCCATTATAAATATGATACCTATATATGTGCAATGAAATGCTTATAAATACATACCTTAAGTGTGTGCTCATAACTGAATAGGCCCCTACAATGTAAAGTGTGAGTCTACCTCTGCTAAATATGAGAAAATACATTGACAAATAAATATATACAATACACATGCATACACACTTCACATTTTGTCATTATAGTTTCAATTTGAAATGTTTTGTCATTTGCATCTATCTAGTGCCCGTTCGGCTACTTTATTTTAAAAAACACCACTGCAGTGAGCAAACACAAAACACTAATGTGCTTTACACCATAATCCAAATCACTTTGCAAAAAACCTTTAATGAGTCCACAGATCACAGACTGTGTGGACCACTCTTGCTAGCGACAGTGTTGAAGCCAGGCACAAAGCCTGGATCCAAAACTTCATTGCAATGCAAATAAAACACTGAGCTAGGCAATTTACAACTTGTATTTGTCTGGTGATCAAAGTCTGACACATAATTGATTATCAGAACATTTCTGATATTTTAGTATACTAATAGGATCCTATTTTAACTCAGACTTCTTTTAAAAGGAATAATCCTTTGGTTTTGATAACAAACTGATTAAATCTTATTTTAAACATAGTATACCTGGTTACAAGTATACCAGGTGAATTTATACTAAACAAAACAAGCAAGACAACAAAAGTTTCTGATGTTAAATGTCATGAAGACTATAGCCTCCTTTTTATCGTGTTCAAAGTGTAGTGAAGCTAAGCATACCTGGCACATGTCATTCTAAGTGATGCTGAGTATTGTGCCACCTGCTGTAAACCAGAACACCTTCCCAGAGACAAGGAAACGTTCGACAAGAACATTCACACCCCAATTAGACAGAACAATGAGATAGCGCCCAGGCTACAGCTATGCTGGGGAGGGTTGAAGGTTATTGTATTCTTAAGTCGGAAAGACTCCTGAAGAGGCATGAGATTTGAATCTGTTGCCTTTGCGTGATTTTTGCTGGCCATTAAGTTTTGCATGGTCACAGTTAGTACTTACAGCACTTCCATGACCTAGGACCAGTTTATGTTTAAAATCCACATATGAAAGCGACTTGTTTCTACATTTGCATTCCTCTCTTAGTAGAAAACTACATTATTTAGACAAAACTTGTAAAAAGTTTAAAAGTAGAATTAAAAAAATATATATATATTTTCAATTTCTAGGCAGAGACGTTTTCACCTTGATGATCACAGCGTGTGCGGGAAGGTTAACACCCCAAGCCAGGGTAGCTGTACAGATTAGAACTTTGATGTGTCCACGGGAAAACAGGCTCTCCACAAGGTTCCTGTCCTGCCTCAGCATTCCTGCGTGATGAATCCCAAATCCATCCGGGAACATCTCCCGCAGCTGCTTATTCCGAGATTTTTGTATCTGTGAGGGAGACAAATACACAGTTATATTAGTTTTGCTTTAATAATGAAAGAAGATGAATCCATCAGCTTTCTGAGCTTGGTGTTTTACAACACACTGGCATAATGACCACAGAGTCATTATACTAAAAAGGATTTAGTGATTTGTAGACATCACTACATCTGATTTGGTTAAAATTATTTTTAAACTAGAAGAATTACATGAGCACCTGAACCTATGCATTTCCCTGATAACCTTCCTGTATTTTAAATATTAAGCGCTTTTTTCTTTAAAAAAATCAAAAGCCCCCATTAGGTTGAGAGTGTCTGCTTCTGCTTCATTACTGAATTGAGCCACTTCAGACCACTGCCCATTTCAAATATGTTTTTTCTCGATAATGTCTAGGGCACACAGATGCCTTGCTGCTGTTGCATTATTTGAACCCTTCCCATCATCAACACAGCATAAAAAACTGCCTTTGGCTCAACTGCTTTCTCTTACCACTCGATCTGGGTGCAGCCTTTGATTCACATACTCTTCTGTGGTGTCTCAGAGACCCCTGCAGGGCTCCTCATTGGTTCTAGGCATTTGTTTGTAATGGGCCTGCGTTTGAAACCAGTAGAGGTTTTTCACCTTGCACACCGGCTATCTCAGATTGTGACATGCAATATTTTACTTGAGGACTCTACTTCATACCTAGATGTAACATTTTGGACATTTACAACTCTGAAATGAGCAGCTATGTTGATTACAACCTTTATGATAAATAACAACAGTTAATCTATGACACTATGGATGGTGATTGTCATCAGATATAGTGGCAAACCCACATGGTACTTCCTCATTGGTGGGTCACTCTTAACTTGTTAATAGATTTCTGACAGGTGACACCAGCACAGATGGGCCATCTTCTTGGAACTGCAGATTTCAGTGTCAATTTGGGAATTATATAACATGAAAGATGGCCAGCCATCTTTCATCTTTATTTGTCTGTCAATTGTACGGCCTTAGGTTCTACATAAACTCTTAAAGAAGTCTGCTCCTTTGTACAGTAGTTCAATACATGTCTTTAAACTCCTGCTCTGACTGTTTGCCTTTCATCCATAGCTGATGCTTGTTTGCTGAATGTCCCCCAGACTGTGCTAACAACAGTGAGTTTAGTATATTTTCTGTCTTTATACAGGTCTGTGAAACACATTACATATGTACTATATATTAAATAATATTTAAAAATGTGTACGATTAGCCAAATTGCTTGTTATCATGCATAGGTTATTATTCATTTGTATATTTTATTTTTTTCTTACTATTTGTAAGATTTTTACTTAATTTACTGCAGTTAACTCTTGTGCTTTCCAAAGATGGTCAGGAAATGTTTGAATGATTAATATAACTAACTACACGGGCGGGGTGGGGGGTTGGGGTGATTAAAGGAGGTTGCTCTATCAGGGAGGACTTCTAAAGTGATAAACTTCCAGGTTTTGATTAAGCATTCTCTGTGCAATTAAGAATAAGGAGTTTTTGCATTTTACAAATTGGTATGAATAACCTATTAAATGTATTTGTATTTGATAGGCCCAAGGTTCAACAGAGCTTTCATTTATTTACAAATAGAATGCATGCATTTACACTTCCATAATTAATAAGATTAACAAGTTCTTTCACTTGCAGTTAAAAGTAGTTGTGTAAAACACAAACATACTTGTTTTCGTTTCTATTAATTTCATTCAGTTCTTTTTATATCCATTAATGACCTCAAAGCAATTATACACATATGCACATACTGTATATAACTATACATACTGTGTACAAATCACATACAAATCTAAGCTTTTAGAAACTGCTGATTAGGGGTATACATGTCTATCTTGCTGTACTGGAGCTCTCCAGGAACAGGGATGGATTCCAATGTCATGTATTACACAGCAACTTGAGGCACATGGAAGGACAGGAAATCCAATCAGCAGACGCTGACAGTCTATTGATATGTCCCGAGACAGAATGAAGGACAAGGCACTTCATCTTCTTTCATCCGGTGTGGCGACCGCCCCAGATTGTCAACTTATTGACTGAATGGCCAGAAAGAATCCTCACATTCTCATGCCCCTCAATCAATCAAAACTGCCAGTTTTCGTATAGCACTTTTTTATCCCAGTGGCTCCCAAAGTACTTCATGTACAGAAGGTGACCCAATTTTTTCTTCACTAAAGTGCAGCACCCAACAAGGTGATATGTGGCAGACATTTAGAGGAATCGCTTCACCCACTTAATTAAGGGGGAAATTTAGAGAGCCCATAATAGATTTTAACCACAGCACTGGGGTTATCATCTCTGCAAAACAGTGCCATGAAATCTTTAATGACCACATCGTCAGGACAGGTCAAGTTTAACGTCTCTTTCAAAGGACAACATCTCCTATAGAAGAGTGTCCACTGTTACCATACTGATCTAATTTCCTGGGTTCTTTAAAAAAATAGGATGTGATCCTCAGATTATCCATCCAACCATTAATTAACAGCTTTATCCAACAAGGGCCAGTTTTCCCCAAAAAGCTAATTAACCTACTAATATGACTTTGGACTATGAGAGGAAACTGGAGCACCTGAAGGAATCCCTCGCAAATATGAGTATAACATACAAACTCCACACACACGGCGTCTTAGGAATTGAATCCAGGGCCCCTGCACTGCGAGGCAGCAATGCTAACCACTCTGCAATAGTAGTGCCCAAATCTCAGATCAATTAGCTGAATAGATGGTCCAAATGACCTCTCATTTATAACCTTTCTTATGATCTTGCCACCTACTGGTCCATTAGCACTACTTGGTTTTCCTCTCAGTAATAACAAGACCTAGCCGTGTTTAGTTTCTGACAGGATCAGGCTACAAGCAGGTAAATGCCAACACGGGCACTCAGCGGAGACACTATTCATAGGTGCAAGCATCAACGCTGGCACACACTCTCAACCTTGTTTTACACTGATTTGGGTCTCCCACGTTTGCAAAAGCATTACTGCACTTCGGTAGAAACTAAATATAAACCTGATAGGAGTGAATTATTAAAAAAACAGTAATATGTGCATTACTAAAAAAAACAAATACATTCAATTATACTTACAAATGCCCTGTGTAGAAGCATCAGATTTAGATTTAATATTGTAGTTAAAAATAATTGTATATACTCTTATTTGTTATTATACCTTACCATATTTCCATATATTTTCTTGTATTGCATCAGGTACCCTTATGTTCACAAACATAATTTACATCCATATACAATGTAACTCTGTGGAATCTGGCAGTGCTTACCAGTTCCCACTACTGTGTGTGGGGGAGTTAATATATTTCCACTAAATCAGGCAAATTAAAAATTTGACAGTCTGACTACAAAACACTGCAGAATTAAATGCAAGTTCCTACACATTCCCCCAAAAGCTGCATCATTAACATCTATGGTTACCAGAGCATCAGAAAGTTGAAATATCAACCAAGGGAGTAAAATAAAGTATGAGACTAAAGTAATAAATATCTCTACTACTTCTCTACTTAACATGTCTAATCAACATAAGGATCAGTCAATCTGGCTATTGCAATTTTCTGATTAATTTGTTAATGTGAATGTTGAAGTTGTTCCTGTTTGCATTAACTATAAATGTCTGCAATTCCTCACTTCCATAAAAATGCATACATTCACTTTGATATCTAAATAAATTATGGACAAATATATTAATGTTAAATTAAAAGAAGGATGCAGCACATCCTACAAAAAATAACAAACATATTTTTAAAAAATTAAGGATGTTTGCAGACCAGTATACACATGAAATAACCTTCATGACTCTTGTCTCTGCTCAATGTAGTGAAAGCACATTTTGCCAACACATGTATGAAAAAAACTGCATAATAGGGAGTATTACAATATGTTGAGCAGTATATTATGTATACGGTATGTCTTATACACTAAAACATTGTTAGTAAGGACTATTACCATTATTCCCAACTGTAGAGGGCAAACAAATTTCACATATGTACCAAAACAATTAGATATTCTTCTGTACCATCAGAATATAAACAACATTCAAATCATCACCAGGGGCTGCTCAAAGGCATAGATTAAATAAAAAACTTCAATGCACCTGGAAGTATCAAAATGTTTTGTACCAGATGGCATTTTTCAACTTGCTAGGGGCTTCTTAGTTCTGCAAAAGAATCTCCCCTCCCTCTCCAGCAATTATCAGGACTGGAATTTGCACTTAGATGGTAGTTCAAAATACGATCTCTCTGTACTTTTTATGGAATAATGATTATTTGTTGTAGGCATTATAAAGTTATTTCCCCATTTTCCCCCTATTTATGTAATGGTACTTCAATAATGAACACAGTAATCATTCTATTTTCAAGAAATGTTTTAGCATTACTGGACAGAAGAATATTTTTCACAATTACCAGACATAACATGGAAAACACAAGTAATTTACACAGGTACAAAGACAATCACGAACCACATCACAAATCACCACGAACAAAATTCATGAGAAAGGCTTAGCCCTAAGTCAACAAAGGCGTCAAAAAGTGAACCTGATCAAAGCAGCACACTCTGATCTCCTGCTCCTTTAAAATATTGTACACGTTCTCCTAAGAGGCCTTTTCATAGTTCGCTACAGTTGCAGACATCAAAGGTGTCACTCCCCATACAGCACCTCCCCATGCTGGCAAACAATAAAAAGAGAAGCCCCAACATCTGGCAAAGAGGCAGCGACTACAGATATTTGCATACCAAGACCCACATCTGTCCACACACATGTATTCCAACACACTAAAACAAACACAAGCAACCACGAGAGGTCTCTTAAAGAATGAAATACTCCGTGATCAATTTTTGCATTTCATGCGGCTAAGACATGAAACATCAATTTCAATCTGCAAGGGAATGGTCTGCTAAAAAAAAACATTCACATTCAGGAGTCGAGGAAATTGTTTTCACCACAGCATAAACTCTTTCAGTTATTTTGTGTTTCTGCA